AATTTGTCTGTATGATGAAAGATGTAATGGTTTGTCAGCTGTAACTGTTGTTTTCTTGTAACATCATATTGAATAAAGTGTAGCAGAATCTCTCTTCTCCTTCGCATATGTGATCTAGACCTAACCCAGGGAAGAAAGCCTTTCTTTTAATTTTTGTTCCCAAAAAAATGAACAAGGAAATGGTTGTAAACAACAGATTTTTAAGGAATGAAAAGTACTTAGAAGCAGGCAGGCACTAGACAGTAATTAGTTGAAAAGATTAGGCGCTTATTCAGTCAAACACATGAGCTTAATCAGAACTACAAGGCAGTGCTAGCTACAAAGGGCAAGGTTCTTCGTGTTTCTGTCTGTACCAGTTAGTAAGTTAATTATTTGGTGTCTCTTTCCATTTTGTTGTGTGTGTGACAAGGGACCTATTTACAGTACACTGGGATTTAACTGAAGTAGTAGAAGGGCCAGTTTTCTGGCCAAAAAAAAAAAAAAAAAAAAAAAAAAAAAAAAAAAAAAAAAAAAAAAAAAAAAAAACACAGGTCTGATTTAAATATATCATTATATGGAGAATAAACTCTGGCTTATTGCAACTTCTCTGGAAGTAAAAACCTGATAATTCTAGTGGAAAATCAGGCGAAACATACAATATGCATTTTTCACAACTTTGATATGGGAGTGTGATTTACACCTGTTCATACTTGGTTATTTCTCTCAATCAGTGAGCATGTGCTGCTTGGATTCTTAACCTGTTTATTTATTTGTGCATTATAGCATTAAAGAGGCAATTGCTCACTCACACTGAATATAATCAATATGTGCCTTCAGTATTTTCTCCTCCTTTCCATTGCTTCTAGCTTTTTTGGTACCGGCATCTTGCTAGGACCTATTTTTAGACAATGAAAGTTAAATCGATGCAGCTTGCACAGACTTGATTAGAATATTTGACTGAAATGTCAGAATATGCTGCTTTAGCAAATGCAGGAGTCTATGGAAATCTGTTGGTTTTAACATCATTCTGGTCTGGGATGGGAGATGGCTGGAGAGCACGTGTTTGTACTCTCTAGGCTGACAGGGAAGCCACTAGCCTAGAATATGGATAATGGAGGACCTAAATTCTGGTCTTGGCTCCAGCTGATGAGGAATAATTGAAGATAAAATGGTCTTCCTTATAGCTAGCACAATATAGGCTTGGTAGTGGGTCTTCAGTGTCCCAGGTTTTATCTGGTAGAATCATGTTCTGGCCCGGATCTGATGGCAAAACTCTTCAGGAGAAGAATCCCCACTTTTAAATCTAGACAGCTACTGCAGAATGACATTAGCTGCACCCAGAGGGCATTGCACAAAACCAAACCAAGTAAACACATGCATGTGCATCTATTTCTATTTTAACCCCTGTTCTTGCTGGCTTGGGCAAATTTAGGAAGGTGTTGCCTTTTCATAGTCTAGATGAATACTTTGTGCTTTCAGCTGAGTATCTGATTTGTTCGGTATTCCTGACTCACTACCTGTGTGGCAACTTTAACCTACAAATCTCTGAGATACAAATGATGACCAAGAATTATTACCTAAAAAGGTTTGTGTGTTTGAGCACCAGGTACCAGGAAGCATATTCAGAGTGAGCTTTTAATTATGTAGTATAATCCTTAAAGCCGTCTCCTGACCCCCTTGGCTGCACTCCTAGCCTGTTTAGCCCCAAGGTTTTCTTCCTAAACTAGCCTGGCTGCTACAGCAAAGCAAGAGATGCACTTAACCAGAACAGCAGCCACCCCTCCCCCGAGAAAAGAAAAACCAGAGGGAAGGTGTTGGAGCAACCTTGTGCCACTAGGTTAACACATACAGTTTCTAAATAATGCCTCTCCTTGTAAACCTCTGCCAAGTAAACCCTACAGCAGCGGAAGGGCTTGCTGCTACCAGTGGGGGGTGGTGTTATGGACATTAGATTTGAGAAGCTTATATAGCACATGGGCGAGGATAAAGGGATACAAATAGGAGCAAAAAAACCTGAAGAGATTAAAAAAAAAAAAAATCCAGGGCCAAGTATTTACTGTTCATTCCCCTTGTGAGTGGTGTTATATATTGTCTGCAGTGAGTCATGCTGAGAGCGAGCCAGGCACAATAATAGCTGAGAGCAGTCCTGCAGCCCCTTTGTTATTGCCTGTGCCAGCTGATACGGAGTTGGGCGAAAGAAAGTGATCCAGAAATGTTCCTTTTATTTTTCCTGTTCTCCTGTTTCCCAAAGGGCCCAGTAGTGATTGTTGGGGCTGTACTACCTTGAAAGAACTGCTAAACTAAAATCAAACATATTTTTAAATTAATTTTCCAAGGACAGATACGGTGATTCACATAAAAGACCTAACAGCTTTAAGTGCTATACAACAAGATACTGCAGTGCTATATACCCTAGTAAAGTCTTGAAGCCTAAGAAGATTTATGATAACACAGAAACATTTCAACCTTACCTTTCAACTGGAATTAGGACTACAGCGTAGGTTTCAAAAGGGTAGGTGTTCATCTTACAATCCAGCTAATTATAATAGTTTGCCCCCAGCTTCTACCTGAGGAGCTGAGAGATATTCATGCATTAATGAAATGAGCTATACACACAGCCCGGGGATATACTGTACAGATGTAAAGATCCATATTTTCTAGAAGAAAAAAAAAAAAACAACCCACCCCCAAAACCAAGGCACAGATTCAGTTCTCTATTTTCAAAGCTTTGCATGGGCACAAGCGCCCAAGAGAGTATTTCATTTGGTGTTTGGTGAAGACGGAGCATTCAAGACACTTTTTTAGAATAGTGTATCACAACAACAAAGAAGTGTAACTTCTGTGTTCAAAACAAGTCGTTTCACTGTATAGACAGATGGAAAGATACTGATACATGACATGACAAAGTGTTGTGGTCTATTAGGACTGTGAAGAGTTGTTCATTGACCAAATGCCCGGCATCATGTCAGTGTGGAGCAGGAGAAAGTGCATGTACCATCACGTCGGCTTCGCTGGGAAATACTGTAAACATGAACTGCTACTTGGCTGCATCAGGAGACATAGATATAACTGTTAAACTCTTCAGAGACTGTCTCAGGTGTTCTTCTATATCCCAATGTTTTTTCACAGCACACAATACAGGCAGCAAAGCAGAAGTGATTTCCTGCTTGGGAGGGAGTGCTCTACAGAAATAGCCCCTTTCATATAGGTGGTTAACATTTCATAGATACTTCTCTCCCAGCATGCTGTTCTGGCCCATTACATGTAATAAATGCAAACCTCTATAGCCCTAACATGCCCTTTTTATGTACACTGCTGGCTGCTACAAGTGCTTGTCTATCTGCTGAGCACTCATAAAGCAGCCCAGCGCAGGGTATTTTGGAACACAACTGCCTCTTTGGTGGGGATGTGAATCACAGAAGAGCTGCACTTCTGGTCTCCCACATCCACTAGGTCCTTTCCAGAAACGCCTGTTTGCATCTGGGCAATGTCCATGTTTTCACTGCCAGCTGTTTAGCTTGCACTCGTGCATGCAGAGTGACTAATCTGGAAGAGCAGGAACCTGTAATTTTGGGAGCAGCTCCATTAGCGGTCAGAGGTACCCCGCTCTTCTGCCAGTCCAGAGATGGCAGCGAGTGAGCTCTGTTTGGCAGAGCGAGGTTTCACTGCTCCATAGCTCCAAGCCGCTCTTCTGAGCCTTGCTCAAACAGAACATCTGTTGGTGCAGCAGGACTGGAGGTGGAGGAAGCAGAAGAGAGGGCACGAGACAGAGATGCATGTGCAGTCTGGGGGCAAGGCCATGAACCTGGCACTGGTTAGGAAACGGTCACAGGCAAGTTCCCTTGTTCTAGGAATCACCTGAATGTTCACCCAACCACTAGCTGGGCCCTTCTTTTATAACCCCTACATGAGAAAGGGACATTTGGATACCCTCCCAAACCCTTTCCCCAAGCAATTGTAATTTAGATTTAGGACAACCAATTGATCAAAGGGAAGGGGAGAGTCTCAGAGGGTTTCAGATGAGCCCTTACATGTCCCTAAATATGAGGAAGTGTGTTATACACGCACCACCTGTAATAACACGGAGCTTTGAACACCCCAGTGTGTTTCTACAGTGTTAGCCAGCGGGGTTTCCTATGCCAGTGCTGCCGAAGTACACAATACCCAGTTTTTGGGAGAGGAGGCTTGTGACAAAGCCCAGTTCAGCAGCAGTGCCAGGTGGGCTGGAGGAGATGCCACCTTAACCAGGGAAAGAAAGGAGCTGGGGCCTAGAAATGACATCGGCTCTTGCTGGAAGCCTGATGACAAAGGGGAGCTAAAGCGGCTTTGCCCCCTGCCATCAGGACTCTCAGCTGCTCCTTATTAATGCTGTGTCAGTCACTGTGCATAAACAAAAACATCGGTGGCTCACTCAGGTATTCTCTTATCCCCTCCATCTGAGGTATTCTCTCATCCCCTCCGTCTGACAGGGCTGTGCCAGGTATACAGCAACTTTATGGCGAGAAACCCACAGTGCCCTTCAAAACACTGAGCCCGGTGAATTCCCACACCTGCAACTGGGGCTGCTGAGCTCGCTTCGCACCGAAATATTTTGACTGCAGCAATCTGTCTGGTAGGAGAATGTGCCAGGAACGAACAAGGAGCACATTTACATTTGCTGGCCTTGCTGAACACCACTTCAGATGCCCCGTTTTGCACAAACACACGCTTCTCAGCAGCGCTGCTGGCGCAGGCCCAGCGGCGTGGGCGCTGCGTCACTGCGGAGGGGCCCCGGGCACGATGAAGGATGCATCACACAGCACCTGAAGGACGGCTGACAGGAAAGAAGGGACCTTAAACTGAAGCGCCGTTCGAGGGCTGCCCCACAGAAAACGGGAGCGCTGATGTGCCAGAGGACAGCACTACCAGTGACACCAGGCCCTGACAGCTGCCCGCTCCCCGCGGGCTGAGGTAACCGGTGGGGCGGCTCCCCGCGACGCCTGCAGGCAGGGCGGCGCCGCCACCGCTCGCCAGGGGGCGCCATGGGGCGGGGCCGGGGCCGGGGCCGGGCCTCTCCTCGCTGTGAGGGGGGAGCTCTGGCGCCAACCCGAGGGAAAAGCAACACCGGAGTACCCGGTGCGGAGCGGGAGGAGGAGCTTTAAGTCCCCAGTTAGTGAGGGTGAGGCCTGCCGCTGGATTTGGCACGATGGAGGAGCTGTGTTGCTGTGAAATTCGGGGATTTTGGAAGGTTCAAGCCTTTCACTGAATTTTTTCGAACATTTTACGAAATGCCGCTGTGAATGGGGGCTCTCCTTCCCTCAGCTGTGGCTCCGGACTGGCATGGACGGCACGGCATTGTGGGGCAGAGCGGGTGCTGGCTGTCAGATACTGGGACAAGCCAGGCCCCTCACTCCCCTCACAGCGTCCTCTTCCCCAGAGCGCAGCTTTGAGGCGTCCTGAACCGCGAGTACAGCCTGGCGTCAACGCCTGCAGCTGCGAGCCGGCACCCTGCCTTTCTGCTGATGGCTATGGGCGACCCCCAACCCCTCCTCTGCTCCACATCCATCCAAATACTGTCACCTGCCCGGGTTTCCACCAACTCAACACGTTTGAAGGCACTTTGCTACAACCCAGCAGTTTATGTGCAACACCTGCAGTCCTGTTTACTGTATTGACTTAGATCCCCAATCTGCCCTCAGATACATCCATGCAGCAGCCAGTGCAGTAACAGGGGTTTCTGCTGGTATGTGAATACCTGAAGATGGAATTGGACTCCATGCCATCTGTAAAACACAGTATCAAACTTACACTTGCCCCAGACCCTGATCTTTTATTAATTTCGTCCATACAGAGAAGAAAAAAAAATTGCAACCAAGTTCTTTTAAAGATATCTCTGGAGCCTGAGTTAGAGAAATGGCCTTAGGTGGATTTTTTTTTTTTTTTAACTTGGACATTTACTACAAAGACAGAAAGAAAAGGTGCTGTTTAATCTCTCGTCTCATGTGATCCTCAGTCTCTACCTGGTTTATTTTCCCCACATATGATCTCCTTTGTTCTCTGGTAGTAGTCACCTAAACAAGTGATTAACAGATGAGGGATCAGTCTGCAATGCTCCTAGCTGCAGGATGCGATGCAGGGAAAAAAATTAAGAAATCCACACCAGTTATTTTTCTGACATGCCTCCGAGTACTACATTGTCCCAACAGAGAAATTGCTGGTGTAGCACACACGCTTTTTTCTTTTGAGGTGTCCCTCAGCGCTTCCCCAAATCTCCCAGATCTCCCTGCACCTTCTTTCAGTTAAATTGCTTTTCTTAACTTAATTTGGGACTGTTTAATTAGAGCTGGTTGGAAGTTTTTCCCAACAAAGCAAGGTTATTCAGCATCTTTGAAAGCCACTCATTTATCAGGAGAGAAAGACTTACCTTTCAATTAACTTCCTTCACCTGTGGGTTGCCAGGAACTCAGGTTTCTCAGCTCAGCGACAGGTTTCCATTTGAATGACTGTGGGGCTAGAGACCTCAGGGATTCTTGCCTCTTGGCCATAGAGCTGGGAGCCGATGCTGGGATCCTGTAGCGTGTGCAGCTATGGGGCAGTGCAGATGCCAGAGATTGGTATGATTGCTTTGGTTTCAAGACACCATGAGCTTGTCATGAAACTGGCCAAACTGCTATTCCCAGGTATTTCAATATTTCACATTTTTGACACAGTATTTCAACTCCATGTTAAGGGTTCTGCTTTTAGTTTGGAACGAAGCATTTCTAGAAAGCATTTCCCCATGAAAGAAGGAATAACCAGTTGTGATTAGCAATGAAACCTATCAAAAGGGGATAACGAGCTTCACTGGCTGGAGGAGACAATAGGTTAACTCAGACTACAACTAAGATATATTCTTTCTAAAGAAAATAATGACTTAATAGATCACCTTAGTACTCATGCAGAAGAGGTCTGGTTTTAATCCAGTTTGAAATGAGTTGTAATCCTGGCAATCCTGAAGTAAATGAATATTTTTTTGCATTGATTTCAGTAGCGTTAGGACTTTATCTGGGACGACTTGCTAAGATAGACACTTCAGTTTCAACACAAATTGGAGCTTGAGGCTAGATTCCACTTTGTGAATGTTGATGGCTTATGCAAGCAGGAAGTCACACTTTGATAGCCTTATAATTTTTTAATTATATAAAAGGTTGCAACAGCTACATGGTTTACTGGTGGATAAATTTAGCTTTTGTCCTGTGTTAACATATTTGCAGATGTTGCTGGTACCATTGCTTCACAGTCCTCACTTTTACCTTTATGTGATGACCAGTTGGTTTTTTTTCTACTATGAATACAGATATATGTATTTCTGAGAAAAAGAAATGTGATTGCCTAAGCGACGCAGTCCAAAAAAAGGAAGCCAACCTCTTTCCTATGCCCAGTATTACATCATTTGAAACAGCACACTATCTCAAGATCTTCTAAGGACAGAAACTGCATCGTAGTGGAAAGATTGAAATCTTAATTTGCAGTAGCATAAAGGTCCCATATGCAGTCTTGGAAAAATCAACTGTTATTAGGCTTAAAACCTATTCTCATTACAGCAGTAAATGCTATCTATTGTAGCCTCAGTATGCAAGGAAAAAATGCCATCTGCAGAAGGACATTATTTAGTAAAAATATATCTACTTCTGTTAATTGTTCCTCTAAGAAAGCTTTAATTGAAAAAGCTGACTGGATAGAGGCTAAAATGAGGTAATTCACATCTTAATTTGTTTGGACTCAAAATTGTTTGCAACCTTTGCTTTCTGCTGTGATTTGTCTCTCATCAGCATTCCCACTGTTCTAAAAAATTTATTTGAATTCTGAGTTGATACAGGAGATGCATATAAACAGATCTCACCTCCCCTCTTGTGAAGGGAATTTATGCAAAACAAGTTTAGGGGCTCTGGGATTTAAAGTTTACGGACTTTTGTCTGTGGGAACTGGAGTGCCACTTTGCACACCATGAACATTGTCTGTGAATTACCTGCCTTAAGGGGGATTGTTAGCACATGAATCAGAAGTGGCTGACTAATGTAGAACATCTCAAACAAAAGGATTAGACAATAGCTCAGATGCACCAAGATGCATTTTAAATCAGCTGAAGTGAAATTAGGTGCTTTTTTAGTCTAATACTGCTCTTAAGTATAATGTTGAACAATGCCTGTGAAAATAGGAAGATCTGGGTACCCCCATTTTGCTACAGAGCAGATGCCATCTATTTATTTTCTCTCTAAAATCAGTCTACTTCCTTTACCCGTGGTAATGGTGCTTGCTCGGTCGTATGTGCTTCTTTCAAAGGAAGAGCACTGTATTGCTCTGTGCCACAAAGTCCATAGTGATTCTCCTTTGATCATTATTTGATTTCAGATGCTCCAGAATTACTTTCTGCTCCCACTAATAAACCTTTGCAGCGGCAGCCTCAGTGTGATGTTCATCCTTGAGAATCCTGCTACAAAGACACCCATGCCTAAGCTCAGCTCCAGTCGTCTGGGACGTGGGATCTTGCAAACACCATGTCTTATGGCTACCGAACTTTCAGGGAAAGTTTAAAGCATCAGTGGGCTAAACGCTATTCCACTTGGTGACAAATGGAGAAGACCAGTTTCACCTGGTGTAAGGAAAAAAACAGGCAGGTCTGCAGGGTGCCTCCTGCTGTGGCCTCACCTGGCATGCTGATCTGCTCGGTTTGCTGAATTCTCCTTTTGGGTGTAAAGATGATGCTTGGCCTAACATGCTGTCTCCCTCCATCTCCAAACCAAACACCATGGGAGTCTGAGACTGGTTTTGGCCAATTCTGATCCTACTGAAACGGGAGCTTAATTCAGTGGGATCAGAATTTGGCCCTTAGGCAGTGAAGGTGCAGTGTCTACTGCAAAAAGGGTTTCTTTGATAACGTTCTAAAGAGCACAGAGAAAGCAAACTACTACTGGACAGAGTAAGTACAGCCATTTGCTCTGGGCAACAGCTTTTGGAAATAGAAAGTTGAGCAACCAGGCTAATGTTCTCAGCAAAGGACTAGCCATACTTACTTATTTTAACTAGAGCTGCACGCTGGCCCTATTTGGAGGATAGCTGTGCTGGCAATGTTTAAAAAAAAAAAAAAAAGGAAAAAATATTTTTGGATTGACAGGAAACCAGATTTTTTCAGACTGTATGGCAAAGGGGGAAGGGTTTTTTCAGGTTGAATAAAGTATTTCACACTGATTTGGGACATTTCTAAAGGACATGAAAGCAACGTGAAAATAAACTTATGCAGGGTGACTGGAGCAATAGTCACAAAACTGAGGAGGGGAGATCCCCTTTTGCACCCAGCAGTACAAACTTTCACTCTTTAGGTGGGCAACTCCAACTGCTCAGTAATCCCCAGGTTCTCCTCTCAGGAAAATGTCCTAAATGCCTGGCTGTAAAGCTGGCTGCCCGAACCATGCCTCAGCTCAAATGAAACTCCTGTGATGGATGTTGCCTGAGAAAGTAGCTCTGCTGGATTCACAGCTGCTGGGCAATTTGTATGCTGTGGGGTGGGACAGGTAAAACAGCAGAAGCTGTGGTGGTGAGCACCGCCTTATGTCCCTGCTCTGCCACCAGCCCAGCCCTGCTCCCTGTTTTTTGAGAGATGTGGAGCTCCTGACCACTTGAAGGCATTGGTACTTGGGGTGAAGAAAATTCACTGTGGCAGCTATAGAGGATACAGAGGAGCCTCTCTCTTGAATGCTGACATGTCCAATCTCATATAACTCATGAACATTCACAGGGTAAGAAAACAGGTGAGGATTATGGTATGGTCTGGTGTCTAGGACACTCAACTGAATTTTCCAGTCTCTGCTTCCAGTCTTCAAAGGGGAAAAACTGAAGGTGTCCCACCAGAATCAGTATCCCTCTGAAAGACGTAGGAGGCCCATGATTTTAAGACCTAGCTTTAAATCAGTTAGAAAAAGGAGTGCATATTTGCCTCCAGTCTCACAAAATCTAGTTGGTATGGCATAAGGATGTTCTTTTCCAGTTTTCTGTTGTTTCAGAAATTGTTTTCAAGTCAGCTTGTAAGTCTTGCCTGAAAAGTCAAAGCAAAAATCTATTGCAAAAACACCAAAAGAATCCCTTCCACATTTTATTTCAGGTGAAACTGTTGACTAAATTTGACTTGACATTACAAGTGTTTGCATTTTTCTGTGACTAAGTGATTCCTTATACACTCTGTGCTCAGCTCTAGCTTGAGCTCTGCTGTTATTTGACCCTCCGGGTATTCTGCTTCGGGAGCATCTAAGATAACTGCTCAGCCATTGAGCCACAGCCTCCTCTGCAAGGACGGGGGGGTGGGGTGGGGACGGGACACGACACACGGGACACGAGACGACACGACACGTGCTATCTTTGTGGTTGCATCGTCTTTTCCAGCAAACTGGTTTCTGTGACAAACACTTGAGGTGCTAAAGAAATATGGCTTCAGTCCTCCCCTTCCAAAATCCTCATCAAACAACTGTTGCCAATATATATTCTACCCTAGCAGACATTTCATTCACTCTATCATCTGTGGAAAACGTAAGAATTGATCTCTCAGCAGTGTTGCTAAAAGCCGCGGCCACTTTGCTTTGTTTTCACTTGGAGAGTGTAAATGTCTTTTTGGCAGATTTGATTTCTGGGCAGCTCCTGGCTGAAAACACTATCATCAGCATTGACTTCTCTCATGGGCTGTCACAGGCAAACCATCCTGTGATCGAACGGCAGCCTGCAAGTATCAATATACATTACTGGACTTCTTAGTTGGTGGGCACTGCACTGGGCCAGAGGTAGATCTTCATCTTCAAAATGTAGGGCTTGTGGGCACAGACCCTGGGCACATTTTGAGCCACGAAGCAATGAAACCATACGGTTCGCTTGCACCCTGGCACTCTCCGCCCCCACTGAGATGTCACGTCTTGCCGGAGGATTTTTACACATAAATCTGGGCTGCCCTGTGGCTCCCCTTCCTCTTCTCTGGTGCCAGCCTGGGTAGACGCCCGCGTCGTGGCACGGGAGGCAGCGGGGGGGGGGGGGGGGGGGGGGGTCTGTTTTCTTTTCCAACTTGCTATAGACTGCACATCTCAAAGCACAAGAGAGGTGGGTGATTTGGCCCCTGCCCTCTTCCAACAGCTACAGCTTCAGGGAACCACAGGAGGTGTTTCCAGCTCTGCTGCCTGCACTCCTTATCTGACAAATGAGTAGGTTTTCTGCCTCACTCCCAATACTGCCTCTTTGTCCAAACCACCACACGTGGGCCCTCCTTTTATCGTCATCTGTTGTTGGCTGTTCCTCTGTGACTGTAGGTTCCCCTGAAAGTGAAGTGGCAGCTTCCTTGTGTGGGGTAACTTTGCGGTGTGGCAACCCGCAGAGGGGCAGCTCTGCTCCCATGAATGCGCCCGAGAACTCAGCTGCCACTGCACAGGGCTCTCGGGAGGCCGAGCCCATGGCTAAGCTGTGGGTCTTGGGAGCACTCAACACCTTCCAGGGCTTAGTGTGTGCCATGGCTGTATCCTGCCTCATCAAAATGGCACAAAATCCTCCAGCCCAGTACCAAGTCTACCAGTCCTCCAACCCCATACCCAGCAGCCAATGCCTGAGGAAGGGTATGTGAATAAAGCAAGCCCACAGCAGTATCTCCTCTAAGTAGTCTCCTAGCTCTCAACAGTGTCCAGCCAAAGTACATGCTGTGCTGGAGGCGGGGGCCTGTCAGGGGATGGTGAATGCCACTTTACTGCCCCATGAGATAGCAGCCTGGGCAAAACGGCCAGAAGGAGCCATAGCAAACTGACTAGAGCATGCCTCCCTCAGTGCGAATGCCATGCCTGCTTGGCTTAAACACCATCTCCTCCTTGTCCTTTACATCCAGATGTCTGAAGGGTAGAAGCTGCTTCCTGTGCAATGTAGTGCTGTGCTCTTGAAAGAAACCTGGAACTGCTCTTCAGATTTATTAGATCGTCTTTAGTTTGGGACATCAGTGAGAGTTTCTGTGTGTTCTTCAGTTGCCAGCAGCTCCTATCTGTGTGTATGAACTCCAGTTCCCTGCTTTTCCAGCCTGTAGCACACATGTGCCTCTTTATTTACTGCCATCAGTGGATATACTTAATAAGCAGATTCTTTCTGTTGGTTTGTGTTGGATATTTCTACTTGCCAAAGTCTCTTCTTAGTGGTCTTTAATTGTCTGTTTTATATGGTCACACTGTAGATGGGACAAACCCATATCATACTGTAGAGTGGGGATCAGGCTGGAGATCATGCAAAGACACAAACATGCTGAGAGAAAAATGAGCTGTCGCCCTTGCATATTTGAACTCTGATTCTGTATCTTGATATGCCTGTCATCCCGTGTTGCAGGTCTTCATGGTAGGAATATTTCTAAATCCCACAGGCCTGATTCTCTGGTTTGCTCTATCCGTTGTAAAGCAAAAATATGTTTGCTATAGTTAGCCTCAAGCTATATAAATAAAACTGGGAAAACGGAAGCAAGCCCTATGTTTTTAAATACTCATGTGTATCTCTGTCATAATGACTTCTGTAGAGTCAAAAGGATCTTCCTCTTTATCCAGCTGCTGTGTTAGCTTTTATCTCAATTTATAGGCTGAGTTTTGCATTATCCTGTTTGTGAGCCTACTGCTTCAGCGAGGCCCAAATAGTTGCTGATCACCTGGGCTTTGTTATCACAGGGTTACATTAGAAGAAGGTCTTTTCATTTTCTGCTGCTTTTTTCCCCCTTCATTTCTTCTGAAACACATGCACCGCCATCCTTCCGGTGGTATTGCCTGTAACTCTGCCTCACCCTTGCATGTATGTTGTTTTCCGAAAAGTCAGGTTACAAAAGTCCTTCTCTAGCAGCAAGTGAACTTTGAGATACTGAGTTATGCTGCACGCTCTATCTCCCCACTGCAATTCATTCTGCTCTAAAATGAGAGCAAACCTGCTGAGGTGGCTGGTTCCGTCTGGGCTTGGCATTATTGAGATCCTCAGGAATGGTAAGTTTCCTAAGTGCCAGCCCTGGACTTCTGGTGAATGGGCAAACCTCCTCTGTGCCTGGAGTCCAGCAGGGAGAACAGTAACACTGAGCTGTTTCTGCAATAAGGCTAGCACTGGAACTGACAGCCCCGGGCTCAGGGAAGGTGTCTGTAACCCTCTTTGGGCTTTATCACTCAGCTGAGATTTTCAGCAAGATGAAGAGGCAAAATCAATTTATCAGCTGTGGAGTTCCTACTGAGGACGAGATGTGCTGAATCCCCATTGCTGGGGAGATTAAGGAACTGGTGAGCATCTGTGTATAAACTAGATATATTACAACCTGCTTAGCACAGCTGATTTCTTGAGAGCCCTTCCAGCCCTGTTTTCTGTGATTGAACCTGGGAAAGCAGCCGCTTGTTTAAACTATGCAAGGAAGGGTACGGGAAACGTTAAGAGGCATGGCTGCTGCTTGAGATGCTTCTAACAATTGCTTTGTAAGTCACACACTTTTGTGACTGAACTCAGAAACAAGCTGCATCTTAAAAAAACAAACAAACAAACAAAACCCCTGTCCCATAAAGCAGGAGCACGCCGTGTCTGTTGTTAGAGATGAGTCCCAACACCACAATCTGGTTTTCAAAGCAAAGTACCAGCTCTACCCATCCTTCGCTTGGATGGAGACACTGCTTGTGAAATTGGAGCTAGGATCAGCAGCCAAAAAATGTAGGTGTTTGGGCTTAGGATTTTAACTCTAGCCTATCAGTACTGATTGCTTTTAGAGACATTGTATTAGTATTGAGGAAAAGAGGAGTAGAGTATAGCACATGAAAAGAGTGACTCCTCTTCCAAACACACACACTCCTGTTATAAAAGCATATTATGGGAAGATATTTCTGCTTAGGGTTGAATTACCGAAATGAGATTTTCATTTTAAGTGTCAGGGACACTTGTAGCATATTTTGTGCTGGTGTGGGTTTATTTTCCCGGCTGCCATTCATTTCATGACATTGCCTGAGACTTGGAGAGGCAGCCAGACAGATCTGCTGAACACATGCGTGCTAAGGAAGTGGTTTCCCTAGTAACAATGACCACGGAACAGCTCGCCCAACTTCCCGCCCTTCCTTACGGGATTTGTTTGTTTGTGTGTTTCTCACTGGGTCAGATAGAGGAGACACCAAAATTGGAGCTGGCTACAATGCATCCAGGATCAGCTTACTGGAAGTGGGAGAGTAGAAAAAAATGACTGCTGCATTTCCAAGTGGTGTCATTACAGAGTTTGGCTTTGTTTTGGTTTATGGGAGTAATCCAGAGGCATGCTCATAGCTGCCTCTGAGCACGGACTGAACAGACTCTAGTACAACTCGGATTCTTATTTCAGAACATTTTTTACGGATGCTTTTTTTTTTTCTTTACAAATGAAACTATCGTCATAATGGATTAAGTGCAGCTTTGAGACAGTAATCGATTAATGGAAAACAGGGTGGGGGAACAAATATATACGTGAAGTATGCAATCTCAGTGCAGGACTTACTGCTAGCCCTTTAGAGAAGGTGAATTAAGCAGCATTTGGGAACATGGATGGATGTGCTTCTAGGTTCAGACTGCTAGTAGGGGGTTGTCTGGCTGGCACGCTCTTGCTATCGAAGAAGAGGGGAGATTCATTCTCTAATATATTGCAAAGTATTCCTCAAAGAAAGTAGCTATACCGCTGTTCAGGTAGGGGATCCTGGTAGGCATGTTATGTATGATCATTAAATTGGGTTATCTTTTTAGTCTTCTCATCAACCAGTCTATTTACAGCTCACTTGAAGCCAGGTGGAACAATTTGCAGCACTAATCCCAGGTATTAAATCTGCTTCTTCAGGCATTGAAAAGCTGAATTCTTGGATTCATTAGCCATTGTTCATATATGTATATTAATTGTTGTGGCCACTTTTGTGTCATTTTTTATATTAAAAAATAAAGGTTAGTATTACCTGTCAGCTCTCTGTAAAGCTGTGTCTTACTTAAGATGGGTCTGTTCCTGAACAAGCTAAAATGATTTTATCCGTTGCTAGAAGGAAAAACTGATAAGGGCCCAACTGCAATCAGCTGTGAGTTTACTGTTAAGATAATAACATGAACAGACACTGTGCAGAGATCAGCCATGCTTTGCTTTTTCAAGATCTTTGACCACAATGAAATCATGACATTATCTCAAAGCCGACACATGTAACTCTAGTCACAGAGATATTTACAGCTAAAAATGATAAGCTTGATCCTGAGAGATGCTGGATACACCCATCCTTGCTGCTTTTAACGGCAGTTCTGGGTGTTCAGAGCCTTTGGATCAGACTAAGGTTGTCTCAACAAATCACAGTGAGGGAGACAGAGAGGAAATGGCTATCAGAAAACCAAAGACAGGCTAAGATTTTATCCTTATCAGACTGAGATGAGGTGGCTCAGAGCAATAGACCGATTCTTTTCCCAGGCTATGTCAAGTATCAAGACTGGCCAATGCACTTTAGCTCAGGACAACCGCAGAAATAAGCATGAGCACATTTGTAATTAGCACTTACACTCTCCCAGCACGTATAACTCCCACTATCACAACATTGTCTTCCCATCACAGATAGCATATTTTAAGCTTGGCATTTTAAGCAGCGTTGGAATCCTTATCAACCAAAATCAATGTCAGACCTGTGCGCAATATGAGCTTGGCAGAGAACGACACTGTTTTGTGCTCTTGAGATCGTTGACAGTAATGAAATGATGTTGTTGTCTTCCAAGTTGAACATACGTTAAGTCCAGTCACGCGAAAGCACGTTACATTCTTAGATTAGTGAAAAAGCAATGGTTAGTAAAATCTACCTTTTGATTTTACAATTTCCCTGAAGGTGCAGAGTCTTCCAAATTACTATATGCTTTAGAGAGTTTATGTCTTTGTGTCTGTTTTCAAAATAAACTTTGTTATTAATACTGAATAATTAAATAAATCCAGTGGGTTTACGTGTCTGATGACACGTGCACATCAGCAGCAATCCTATAAATGCATGTGGAGATGTGAGCGTGAATTCAGATAAGTATGGGAGCATGGCCGTATTCAATTCTGAACATAATAATCCAGCTCCTAATTATGTAAATGGTTGGCTATGCTGATTTAGGTCAGTATATTTATTCTCTGTTTCTAACTGTACATCAATGGACCTAAAGACTCTAAGTGGCCAAAGTTGAATCAGATGTGTAATAGAAAATTTAAAACATTTACCATTTTGTTCAGTATCAAAACATTCTTATTTTCACAGTGGTGTAATGTGGGTCTTATGTGTAACAAGAGCTATGACTCATTTGAAAATGTGTGATATCTTTTGTATATCCCAGATGCTTTTCTCATGGATAAGGAACTTTTCACCATAGGAAGACTTTTATATGACTCCCGCTTGTTTTCCCAGTCTATTTCTAGGCTAAATTTACTGTAAAGAGAGAGGGTTTGCATCTGCCTATGTCAGTTCTCCAGTGTATTGAGGTCAGCTTCCATTCTTGTTGGTTCTGATGCCTGCC